TGATATCTTTTGGTTATGACAATTGCAATCGCAGCGACAAACGCTGAACAGTAGCTCGTCGTATAGGAAGTGTAAGACTAGGAGAATGAAAAAGAGTGGGGATAATGCGCAATCTGTTCCACAACTTTGCACACATCTGTTCTATTGGTTTCTTCGGTTACATCTTATGGGAAGTTAATATCATTCTGACAGGTAACAATGTAAAGATTTATAAATTGGATCAATATTGATCAATTTGTAAAAATTACGAATATCTTTTTATTCGATCTCTATTCTTAATATTGTAACTTTAATTATAGGTTTAGATCTAATATATTTGACAAGAAGATAACTACACGTGCTATTCCTTGTTACACGTGGTTTTCTTTTTCAATATATCTTTAATATATCTTGATTTTTATTAATTCATTTATAAAAATTATATATAATGTAAAAATATCTATGATGAATAATATTATAAGGATAATAATTAGATGATGCAATAATTTCACATTTTTACTTATAAAATCTATAGATATTTGATAAAAATATAGTTAAAATTTATCAATTTATCAAAGAAATTGTTTACGTGCTCTTTGTTCTAGGCAAAATAAAATCAAAATGGATGAACTAACCTGGAACGAAAAATATAATCTCATTACGAGAAATTTAGGTGAATGGCTTGGCGATGAAAAATTAAAAAGTATTTTGAAACAGCGCGATGTAAAAATATATTGGGGTACTGCTACGACTGGTAAACCTCATATCGGATATTTTACCCCAATGTTAAAGATAGCTGATTTTTTAAATGCCGGAGCTGAAGTTACAATTTTATTTGCCGATTTACATGCATATTTGGACAATATGAAAGCACCTTGGGAACTTTTAGCATTAAGAACTGAATATTATGAAGTTATTATCAAAGCTATGCTTAAATCTATTGACGTACCTTTGGAGAAACTTAAATTTATTAAGGGAACGGATTATCAATTATCAAAGTTAGTGTCAAAAAATGATACAAAATATGTATGAGATTTCATTTTGTAAGGATATTTTTATAAAAATATTTTTTAAGGGAATATACATTGGATATGTACCGATTAAGTTCTATCATAACCGAACACGATGCTAAAAAGGCAGGTGCAGAAGTTGTTAAACAAATTGCAAATCCATTACTTTCTGGTTTACTATATCCAGGATTACAAGCACTCGACGAGGAGTATCTTCATGTCGATGCACAATTCGGTGGAATAGATCAAAGAAAGATTTTTACTTTTTCTGAAAAATATTTGCCAATGCTTGGATACGAAAAACGTATTCATTTAATGAATCCTATGAGTCAGTATTTAATGAATTACATATCATCTATTTATAAATATAAGTAAACTCTTAATATTTGCAAGAAAGTATATCTTGAAATTTATTTTCAGTACCTGGATTAGCTGGTGCTAAAATGTCTTCCTCCGAGGAAGACTCAAAAATTGATCTCCTAGATGGAGTTTCTACGGTTAAAAAAAAATTAAAAAAAGCATTTTGCGAACCTGGTAATATCAATGATAATGGAATACTTTCCTTCTCTAAGCATGTAATATTTTCTTTATTAAAAAAAGGAGAATCTTATAATGTACCAAGAAGCGAAGAGTTTGGTATGTACAATATCTAAACGTTTGTTAAAACATTATTTTATCTTTTAACAAACATATTATAGGATTAAAATTATCAAACGTTTATAGGTGGAGATATATCTTTCTCTACGTATGAGGAATTAGAGACTGCATTTGCAAAGGAAGAAATACATCCTGGGGATCTTAAAAGTGCAGCCGAAGTATATATAAATAAACTCTTAGATCCAATTAGAAAAGAATTTGATGGAAATTCTAAATTAAAATCTCTTGCCAGTAAAGCATATCCTCCACCACAAAAACAAAGTAAGTTAGTTATATCAATTAAAGGAGATCTTATTGACTTTTAAATATGTTTCAATTTGATAAATTTTGTAATTATTTGTATATATAGAAGTGGTCGATGAAATAGTACCATCGAGATTGGATATTAGAGTTGGAAAGATCGTTGATGTGAAAAAACATCCCGATGCGGATTCATTATACGTAGAGAAAATAGATTTAGGTGAAAATAATGGTCCTAGAACTATAGTTAGTGGGCTTGTAAATTATGTTCCTATAGAGGAAATGCAAGACAGATTGGTACTCGTACTTGCAAATCTTAAAGCGGCTAATCTTAGGGGTATACAATCACATGGAATGGTTCTTTGCGCATCCGTGTAAGATTACTTTCATATTTTATATTTTTTGGAAGAATTCTTTTACATTTTTTTTCTCTCTCTTATCATTATTAATGATCTATACAGAGACGAACCAACAAGGCAAGTTGAACCTTTGAGACCACCAGAAAATAGTAATCCTGGTGATAGAATTTTCGTAGAAGGCTATGAAAGTGGAACGCCGGATGAAGTTTTAAATCCAAAGAAAAAAGTTTGGGAAAAGTTGCAGGTATTTTTTAACTTTTTAACTTCATTAAAAAGATAAAATTATAAATATACGGAAATATGAGATATTTATGAAATATTTATTTTTGATAGATTGATCTTATAGTAAATGATAGTGGAGAAGCATCTTGGAACGGAAATTTGTTGCTTACGTCGGATGGTGGAAAAACGATTGCTGACTCTCTTAGGAACGTACCGATTAAATAATGCATTTTACACTTGTTCCACTTATGCATTTTATTGATTTAGAAATGGAATTATGGATACCATATGAACTGCCTATTTTTAATTATTTTATTAAACATTTTAATAGATGAATTATCATATTATAAATGAAAAATAATATGAATGCTTAACGATCAATCGACTAATGATCTATTATTAACATAAGATAATGATAAGAGTATCTTAATTTGGACTTAAATCCAAATTTATTGGAGAAATTCTTGAGGAAATATTTGGTATTCTACTTCTTTGATGATAATTTAATCGAATACAAGGCGATCGAGGTTTCAGACAATTAAATTGTTCTGAATTAAATTGTTCATTACTACGTGATTCTTGTATTTTCTTTTTCCGTTTATAAATAAGCCAAGACGTTGCAGGACATAGTGCTAATTCTTTTTTTAAAGAACTACTACTGCAGCCATATAATAGAGGATTTATTGCAGCATTAACAAGAACAAGATATCTGCTTATATACCTATAAAAGGATTTATTGATTTTTTATTTTATTATATTATTACTCTTTATTATTATCATCCAGATATATAATTAAAATTTATATATAATCTACTTACCAGAGAAAATACATAGATTCTGCTTGTCCCGGTTTAGAAGGTTGTTGTAAAAGACGTGCTCTTTGAATGATTAATATTGTGAATGGTACACGACAAAAGATAAATGCCAAGACAATAATACCTAGAACACGAGCCACTTTTCCTTTGTAACGTACTGTGATTGGATATTTACTTCTCAAAGCTTGCGATTCAAATCTGTCTAGCTTTAAAATTAAAACAAAAAATATAGTCATACTTATAGTAAAGTTAGAAACGTAATAGAAAAAGTACCTTAATGAGAATAGCAGAATAACATATTGCCATTATAGTTAATGGTGCCCATACGCTTAAACCTGCAAAAACATGCCAATATGGATATAACACTACAGTATCCTCGGTACAATATGTTTCCAAATAATCACTCCATTGCCTTTCGTAATAGCTTCGAAAGATACATAATGGTGTTGCAACTATTATACCCATAATCCATATAGCATAAAGCAGCAAATGTGTAGATCTATATATAACAATATATATATATGTATATATATGTATGTATATATATATATATATATATATATATATATGTATATATGTATATATAATTAAAAATAATAACCTTTTTGTTAATCTACTAGAACAATTTAATACAATAGCAGATAAACGATCATAACTAACTACACTCAAATTAAATACAGCAACTAATGTCAAAGCGTGCACTATAAATCCATCTAATCTACAACCAATGGATCCAAGTATATAATTTTGATATAAATCGATACAGAGAAACATCCAAGGACATAAAATGCAGATACATATATCTGCAATTGCCATGTTAACGATGAGAAGATTTGTAGTAGTGTGCAAAGATTTAGCACGGCTTATTATGTAGATCAATCCACCATTAGCCAGTATACCCACAAGAATGATGGGTAAAATGCTGAGAATTTTAAGAGTTGCTTCCCAAGTTGGTTTTACTATCCAAATTTTTGATGGAAAATGATGCTTCGTAGTGTTTACCCCTTCCCACTATGAATCCATAATCCTTTATGTCATCTCACAATAACAGATAGATTAATATATAACTTGAACACACGAATGTACCTCGATGTTGGTATTTGTTGGTCCAAATTGTTCTCCTAAGTGTTGACTCCATTGTATATCCAAGAGCAAAATGGTAAAATTTAAACTGTCATATAAAAGCATTTTTATATTAATATTATTAATAATAGAAGAGAATATTATATATATATATATATATCAATTTAACTTGAAGACTGAAACCTACGTTATAAGGTTGAATATTAACAGTGAGTAAAATCTAATCTGAAAGTAACAGATGGTACCATTAGCATTAACGGTTTCTTTTGTTTATATTACTCTTATGAATAGAGTAATAAATTATAAGTAGTCAATTAATATATTATCACTCATTAAGTATATATATATATCACGACTTTAATTTAATCGTGAATTTTTCGTATCAATTGAGGGTATCATTTGAATTTTCAAATTTGGCATGCTTAATTACAAAATTAACATTGTTAGTTCTATAATTAGGAAGATAAAATAAATATCTTTTTCGTTGAATGAACTCGATCCTTGATATAGAAATGTGATTAAGAAAAGCATCCGTGCGATGAGAAGATTAAGAATTAGTGAAATTTATGAAATACAATTTTTTTTTTTTTTACGTAGCCAGTTTTCAAATCGAGCGCCATATTGCTGGATATATCGAACGCATGCTAAGGTTACGCCATCTTTATGCATCTCCAGCGTAATCAAATGTGGCTGTTTGTTGTCAAAAATTTATACATACATTTGATCCCTATAAATTTTCGATTAGATAATAAAACATAGCAATATACTTAAATCATGTGAATTTGGTAACATTTATTTATTTTATATCAGATAATTATGTATGTATATACATTTTTTTTTCTTTCAAAATTTCGTTTTTAGCACCTTACTATTTATGCATGTAATATTCAAATGAAATAAATTCCGGTATACCGCCTTTCATAGCAGGTTCTACTTCTTCTCTCAGTTAGTAAGTTCATGTTTTGCTATATGTTTGTTTATGCTAACTTAGTCAAAACTTATGTCAAACAATAATTGAATCAAATTGAATTTTCTTTCGGTGAATAGTATTTTACATTATAACATTTGGGAATTCTATGTTCAAAATAATTTCATAAAAAGTATTTAAAATAAAATTATAATCAAATATGAATTACATATGTATTAATATGTTTAATGTAAAATATAAATATCACACAGTATTATACGATAAATTGAAAAATTAAATTAATAATATAAAATATAATTTAAGATTTAACTTAATTATAATTCATTATAATGGGTAATTGTCTACGAAGTATGATAAAAAGATTACGAAAGAAACATCATTCAGAAAAGTAAAGCATTTTAACTTTCAACAATATCAACAATAATTTGATGTGAATAGAAAAAAAAATTTCTTTAAAAAAAAAACAAAATATCCTTTTTATTTCAGAAATATAACTCTTCTTATTGTTGGTCTAGACAATGCAGGAAAGACTTTAATTTTAAATCATATACGTGGTGGTATGTAAAAAAAAAGAGCATATGTTCCTTGTTACTATACAGAGTTTTTTTTGTTACATTAAAAGTTTTTATTTATATATATATATATATATATATATATATTTGCACAAAAATTCATGAGGTATATAGTAAATAAAAATAGAGAAAAAAAATGAAAAAAAAATCTTTATTTTTGTTATATAAATAAAGTATTGTATATTATATATATTACAAAGTTTATTCAACTTTTAGACCCTGATAAGCATGTACTACCAACAATGGGATTCCGAATTGTATGCTTAAAATATAAATCGTATGCTATAAAAATATATGATCTTGGTGGTAGCATACAAATTAGATCATTATGGCCAAAATATTATAATGATGTGAGTTCAAATTAAGTTACTTTAGTATATATATATATACTTAGTATATAAAAAAAAATATATATATATATATTTTTAAGTTATCTCTATTACAAAGAAAAAGCATACATATTATACATTTGTATTTTAGATACATGGTCTTATATATGTGGTGGATGCTAGTGATATTTCTCGTCTGGCAGAAAATAAAGTTGTATTTGGTGAATTAGTTGCTCATGAAAGTATTTCAGGAAAGCCGTTATTATTGTAAGAAAAATAACTCATTATATGTTATTTCTGCATATGTTGAGTTCAATGTATGCACATGTTTATAATCATCATCAAATTTTATTTTTGGCAATAGTCTAGCAAAATACTATCAATATGTCAATTATTATTTATTTTTAATAAATATTATTTTTATTTTATATGTATACACATGTAGGCTTGCCAACAAACAAGATTTAAATGGAGCAATTGATGAATTAGATGTTGTAGACAATTTAGATGTTGAACATGTTGTAAATAGTACACGATGTCCTACGAGAGTTGAAACTTGTTCCTGTTTCTCTGAAAAAGAACATGTGAAAAATAATACTTTAGGCATTACGAATGGATACAAGTAATGATAATTTTTTTCATAAATGTTTTTTATCAAATTGAAATAATTTTTTGTACTTAACATATATTCATTTTTGCTCAGATGGTTACTAGATACAATATTGAGAAATTATATTGTATTAAATAATAGAGTTAAACAATCTCAAAACATTATGAATGAAGAATTAAGAAATCAAAGAATAACAAAGGATTGCAAATATTCACCACCTAGATTATCAGTACACTCTAATCCTTTTAAACCAATAGCAGAACTTTTATCTAAAAAGGTAAATCTAATAATATTTCTTTACAAATGTAATAATTTTTTTATTCCATCATTATTAATATCTGTTTTTCCTATTGTTAGGAAGGAAATAATACAGAAAATCATTTAGTTAATGGTAAGGACTATATCTTTGAATTACATTACATTACAATATTAAATTTTTATTATAATATGAATTTATATGATAAACATTTTGGCAGGTATTATTAATGGACGATCATTTAAGAAATTCTTCATGTCAAATAAGACTGCACCACTTTCACCTGAAAGTACATTTAATATAAATGAAGATCTATCTTTGCATGATAGTTCTAATGTCATAACCCCCGTAGCACAAAAAAGTACTCAAACTATTACTATAATAGATTTACCAAGTTTTGATTTTTATCGTAACGATGAAAAAAATAACAGATGTCACCGTCCAAACACAGCACCAGCATGTTCTACATTACATAATACAATATCAATAATAAATATTCCTGGACAAGTACTTCAATAATGATATAAAAATTATGTTCATTATATATTTTTGTGGGGCCAATGTGTACAAGTAGATGAAATAACGAGATAGAAGTATTAATTAAATCATGCCATATAGAAGGTAATTTTTATATTTAAAAAAAGGAAAAAAAAAATTTAATATATTGTAGCAAAAAAAAAGAACTTTTTTCATTTTACATTTTTATTGAATATTACAAAGTTATACAAATTTTATAAAGGTACGACAAAGTGTATTGAATATAAGTACACTCAATTATTAAAAAATCACAGTATGTATGTGTGTGATGATGCTATCTTATAAAATATATTTATTTGCGTTTGGTAAAGTTATTTTCATAGAATTGTTATAATAATAGATTTATATGGTTAACACATGTTCTATCACAATTCGTATAATGGTAAACAATCGAACACTTTTTTTTTCTTTTTTTTTTTTATCATAAATGCACTTTTCATTGTAAATATTTATCAATTTATGTAATGTGTACAAATATATATTGCAAATGTAAAAATAGTATAAATAATCTGGTAAGATTATTGCAATAAAACTTAATAAATATATATTAAAACTAAATGGTAATCAGACTATTACATAGATATACTTTATGGCAATACCTTACAAATGAAAAACATTTTTTTGAAGATAATCGTGATGCCTGCAAGTATACAAAATGTAAAAAAAAAAAAGAAAGAAGAAAGAAAAAAAATTAAAAATTTTAGTTATAATTTCATTAATGTATAAAAGCAGAGAAATTTGTACTTCTCCTTATATCTAGTATGTCATATATGTGTATATCATAATTCGTCTAAATTTGTAATATAAATGCAGCAAGTAATGGCAGTAATGCACATAGAAAAATAGTAATACATGTTATCTAAATATAAAGAACATATATACGAAATATATGTGTTACAATAAGATAAAATGTATTACTTATATAGGTACGTAATGTGAATCTTATAATATTAATCTAAACACCATTGGCAGGAGCTGTGAATTTTACTAGACGAGTTAGCATTGAAGTTATGCATGGAATTTGTTTTTGTTGATGCATGGTAATATTATCAGGAGTATTAGATTCATAATCTATTGCAACTCGTTGACAGACAAAAGTAAGTAGAGTTAACAAATCATATCGCATTCCAAATTCTTTTAATTCCATGCATAATGCTTGTATAAACCATGATCCACGTGTCGTATTTCTCCATGAATAATAACCTATACATATATATATATATGTGTATATATATAGAAATTATTTAAAATAAATTAATAATAAATTAATAAAAAATAACAAAGTTAAAAAAATCTTTCTTATTTGTGATATTTAAAATAAATGATTAAAATCATAGCTTTTACCTGGTATAGTTGAATAAGCGATAAGAAAGTCCGCATGAGTTGGTATACGAAATGTACTAGAATGTGCAGTATCTGTTTCTGTACGTTCTTTTAAACTAAAACCAGAATCTAATTTATCACCTTGACAGGCTTGTATGAAAAACAATTTTGGTTTTCCAGCAAGAGTAGGACATTTATCTGATGTGAAGTAAGACCAAACATTATCAGCTTTGTAAGAAGTATCATATGCATAAAGCATCCCTAATTCTCCATGGCTTAGTACAGAAACTATTAAACAGTCATGAGTAGAATGATCTAAATCGGCAACTATAAAAATATATTGTTATTGATTAAATATTATATATTATATTTTTATATTTAATTTTTATTCAATTTTTATTTTATACTTTCTCTTAATACCTTCTTGCAAAACAATTCCTAATTGTTTAGAAGTATAATTTTCATAAACTTGAACTGTAAATCCAAGTGATTCTAATGTTTCCTTGAGATTTTCGCAATCAGTATTTGTTCCGTTTCTTATTTTTAGATGACTGATAGAAAAAAGTTCATGATTAAATATAATTGCTATGCCGCGTTTAGGATGATCCATTTTATAATGTGAAGCATATCGTTCAGTAGGTGATATTTGAAAGGGTCGAGCAACCTGAGCGTTGTTCTTTCTGTTAGGATAAAAACTTAATGAAACAATTATTTGATTTTATTATAAGAATAAAAGATTTAGTTTTATGCTTCAATATGTCTATCAAATCTATACTTTAGTATAAAATAAATTTTACTTTTTATTTCTTAAATTTGAATATAAAAAAGAAGACTTAATGAAAGCAAAAAGAGAAATAAATAAATAAATAAATAAATAAATAAAAAAAAAAAAAAAAAGAAGAGAAAGTATAATCAATGATACCTTGGGCATCCGAATGCATCGTAAACATCATTTTCCACATTTTCATTATTAATATGATCTTCTTTAGAACACATTTTCTCTAACAATAGAGCTATCAAATTTCTTTTCGAACGAATGAATTTGTTTTACACTTTATTCGTCAGAGCCGTCAAGACAATGAACAACAATGAATACACACATACATATATATTGAATTCGTTCAATTTTTGACGCTTCCACACTTCAACGACATAAAGATAACCGTCGTATGTATAAAAGGCGTGTATCATTTGACGGCTAAACAACTGACCAATCAGAAAGCTTGCTCTACGGATTTTGCTTAGTAATCTATCATTATTAACCTTGACAATTTAAACGTTCGACTTATATTGTTTATTTTTTCTTTTGTCACAATACGAATTAAAAATATGATATATCTTTTCTATAAAAGAATAGATAAAATAAATTCAATTCTAAAAACTTATCATTCCTAATTATTTTTATTTTCTTTTAATATCCACTTGAATCGATCTATAAAATAATTTGAGTCATCTTTTGATAAACTTTCATATAACATTTTTGTAATACATCCTCGATATTGCCATATGGCATTTAAATAACTATTGGAAAAAAAAGGGGGGGGAGAAAAAAAGAAACAATTATTAAAAAAATTCTTCAATCAAATATTCATTCTTTCACATATTCTGATATAATTTTATATGTGAAAATATATGCACCAATCGCGTTTAGGAATTATCGGTAAAAGATATTTTGTCATTGGTGAAATTTTTTGACAAAAGAAAATTCCTATTATTATTGGTATTCATAATATTGTTTAATTTTAATCATTATATATTTGGAGATTTTTACATTTTTTGTTTTTATTTTTTATTAACCTATCGAACAATATAGTTTTGGTTTTCTGACAAGTAATGAACATTTATCTGATGTAAAGTATTAGCTTTATAAGAATCATTAAATAAATAATGCTTCCCTTAAATATAAATAATTAAGTAGTCGTAATTAGTTGTGATTTCTGTCTGCAACTATAAATTATTTTTTATAAATTTCTGTATAAAATATATTATATAAATAATGTCGTATTCCAAATAAAAATATTTAATAAATATCATTCTATGTTATATACATGAGGAAGAAAAGTTTATAATCTATCAATAAAAATAATGTAAGTTTAATTCACACAAAACAATGTATATTGTTTTACATAACTTAATTAACAATATTTACATAGTAAAAACTACAATATACATACACATACACACAGATATACGTGTGTGCGTGCGTGCGCTATAAATATTATATAATACATATAATATTATATATATTAATATATAATATTATATGTATATATAATATTTATTATTATATGTATACATATAATATTATATATATATATATATACACACACAATATATATAATATATATATATATAACATTTGGATATAGCAAGAGAGCATATGATATTCATGTAGGTCCATGAACAGACGTCAAAAATTCATCTAAGTTCATATTACTTAATAATACTTGTGGATCATATATGCGTTTTTTTTCAACCTGTAAACAATTATTTTTGTACACAATTTGTACACATATAAATAGATATAAAAAACAAAAAAAAATTAATAACTTATGCCAATTAATAACAAACCTTTGCGTCTTCTTTAGATTCTGATAATTTCCTTTTATGATTTTTTGTAGTTAAATTGTCTGAAATCAATTTTACTTTACTCATGAAAAATAAATATTTGTAAATTAAGCAATAAGATGAATATTTGTAAATTAAACAAAAAGATGAATATTTGTAAATTTTTTTTTTTTAATATAAAATATACAAATATTCAATTACCTTTTTGTGTTTTACTTTTTTCAGATTGCACTTTTACTTTTTCTGATACATTATCCTTATCATTTATCGGCATAATTTTGCTCGTAGTCTTCTTTAATTTTGTTAATATAGGCTTGTCTACGGGCGAAGACGTGGCTAATGGCTTGGTGCAATTATCCTTTAAGATAAAGTTATTGTTATTAGATTTTATATTACTCGTTTGAGAATTTTTTACAGGCAACTTCTTGTTGATCGGTTTCTTCTTAGATTTTGGATTCATATTGAATATTTCTTGATAATCAGTAGCCGTCATAGTTTTTATAACTTCTCTATAATTTTCATTGCTGAGTTGAACATTTACATGCTGTTTTAATTCATTGCTACTGTATCTTCTTCTTCTTTTTTTCGTTGATATACTGTCATCATAAACAAAGTGATATTCTACAGAACTAGGTCCAGTTGTATTTAAATCAATTTCCTCTTCAGATTGATTGTTATCATTTTTTTCTTTATGATTATCAGTTTTGCTTGCCGGTACTAGCTGTAAACATTCAAGAACACAAGACAATACCTCTTTTGAATCTTGTGATTTAATAGTTTCTACAGCATTTATGACTTCGTTATTATTTAAAATATGTTCATCTTTCTTTTCAACTTGAAGATCTTTCGAGATCATATCTTCTGATACTTGAGATTTTCGTTCATTTTCTTCATCGCTGAACAAATCACGTTTTACTTGATTAACTTTAGCCTTCAATATATCTTCTACTTTTTCAACATGTTTTATTGCAATAATTGTATTAGCTTTAATATTATATTTGTTTATCGTATCGTTATTTTCCATAATTAACTTTTTATCTTTGTTAATACTGGATAAATACTCTTTTGATAATTCTTGTTCGCTTACTTTTTCATTATTTACTTGATCACTTTCAATACTATCATTTTGAGATGTAGTATGAATAGCATTATATTCATCCACATTAGTTTTTGACTCTATATTTATTTTTTCTTGTGTTGATATTAATGTATTTACTGTAGAATTTGCTTCCATTAAAACATTTTTTTTATTATTTTGAATATCCTTGTTACATTTATCCGATGAATCTGTAATTGACATTGTTTTGTCACTATCTTCTTTATTTATATCTTGAATATTTGTAACAACAACATTATTAATTACAGAAACTCGTTCATCCGTATTTTCTCTATTATTAGTATTCTTATCGAAATTCTTTTCAAATCGTTTTTCTCTAGTTCTCATTCTATTTGTTATTTTATTCTTTAGTCGATTATTTTTACTTATACAATTGTTTCTGTTCTTTATCGATAATATATTTTGTTTAGATCTATTTTTTACAAGAGTTACATTCGATTTTGGAATTTGTTTAAGCTTTGCTATCATACGTTGACGTTTTTGTTCCAATTGTCTTGCATGCTCATCCGTACTTAATATTTTTTGCTTATTATTTTGATGATTTGCATATTCTGCCAATGGTAAAAAAGTTGATCTGTCAAGTGATATATTCTGTATATTTATTATTTGTGATTTCTGTACGACTTTATTCACATCGGAGATTTGTGGTATTGAAGAATTTGCATTTGTTAATTTTTCATTTTCTGAGGTAATAAATGCAGATATCTTTGAAGATAAATTTGTTACATTGTCTATACCAATTTTTGAACTGCTAGGAGTGTCAGATATATCTTCTTCCGGCAACAAATTCTCATCCTTAGCAGGAGTTTCCTTTAAAGTAGATTCCAATTGTTCTTCACTTTTTGTTAAAGAAAGTAACTTAGCTGGAGAAGATTCAGATTTGATTATAATATCCATGGATGCTTTCTCAACTTCCATTACATTAGTTGATATATTTGATACACTTGATATCGCTTTATCTTTGATCAAATCATTCTTTAAGTTTACAGATATATCATGCATAGAATTATTGCCAGATGCATTTATCTTTGATATAGAATCATTGCTTGTATCTGTGTATATTTTATTAGGAGTCTTTTTGTATTTTTTATTACATGAGAATGGTTTGGATGTATCAGTAATATTGGAATTAGTAGAAGAAGAAGAAGATGACGACGACGATGATGAAGAGGATGAAGATGTGTCGCTATCAGTTGAATTTTCACGAATACTGAGTGATTTTTCATTAATTAATGTAACAACTTTAGTATCATTTTCATCATTTTGCATAGAAGTTGTATTCAAATTAGCAGACGTAATGTCCTTAGTTTTAGAGGATATTTTAAGTTCTTTGACAGCTTCATCCTTTGGCAAATTTTCTTTGATTACTTCAAACTGTGTTATTTCAAGCTTAGTAGAAACAGATACATTATCATAACCATTGTCCGTATTTAGTGCCAATTGAGTTGTACCAATTGACTTAGTGTCAGAAATTGGGATAGCCAAATGTTTCGTTGCGTCGTTATCAAATTTCATATCAATTTTTATTACTTTTTCAGAATCACAGGGATTTACATGTTCTGTACTTGGTTTATAATAAGGCGATATACAACCATTATATATTCCTTTTTTTATAACATCGCGCGTATTTTCCTCACAATGTTTTGGAGTCAATGCAATGCAAGGAGTAGTTGGAAATTCCGGTGTGTTTATTAAGCTACGTATTTTGGTCGAATCATCGCTGGTTTTAATAAACGATGGAATAATATTGCTATTTGGACTAAGTAAACGAGGCGTTGAAGGTATTCCAGAAGAATTTCCAAATTTTCTTGGTGTTTCTAAATCTATTATATCAGATATTGGAACAACTTCTATAGTAGGCAATACATTATTTGTAACATTTTTCTCTTTTTCTGATTTTCTTAAATTTGTCTTTAATGTTTTTAATTGTACATATTTTTTCACAATCTTTTTCTCAGTTGTTTCCTTATTATTTGTACCTGTTGTAATGTTGTTTTCTACTACAGCTACAGGACAAGTCGATTTAATCGTACATGTATCTGTGCCCGTCTCTATCTTCTCTAAAACACAAGAATTATCTGTATTACCACTTGTTACTTCTTTGTTCGTATTACTTAATAGATTTTTAGAAAGCGGCTTATTGCTCATTTCCATTGGTACATCTGTTTTATTCTTTTTAACATCTTGTACACTCGTTATTGATTCTTCATCCTCTTTTTCAACATATTGTTTCTTTACATCAACTATAGCTCTTTCGTCATTAGATTTTTTCCTACCTTTAGTCTTTAAGCATTGTAAATTACGTTTTGAAGTTTTACATGCGATATTATTTTTACTTTCAGTAACTTTTTTCTTCTTTTTGTTACTTACTGTCGATGTAGATCTCTCATCGCTTGTCTGTAAACACTTACGCAAATCTGCATCCCAACTTTTTGCTATTGTTTTAGACCTTTGAAATTTATTTATTGATATAGGAGAATTAATACCATTGCTTTTACAAGGTGACGGATCATCTATGATTACACCTACACCATTATATTTTTCCCAACCTCCCATAAGTTTTGGAATAGGACTTCTAGTTGCTATAGGTATTTCATTAGATTGTCCAATATTTAATGCATTTTGAAACGTTGGTATTGTTACAGATGAATTAGTGAATGGCGGTGATTTGAAGAGAGAAGTTCTACGAACTGATTTCATAGGTCTTAATAATTTGGGAGAACAGCTCAAATTTTCATTATCTTGCATTTTTGAAGCGGAATGTATTAATTTTGTTGGCGTATTAAAATCAAGCGTTCTTACATGACTATTCCTTCGAGGAGTAGATAAACTAAGCCTATGTGTTTTCGCCCTATGTTTTAATAAAGATCTTGGTGTTCGTTTATTAATTATATCGCCTTCAGTCTTTTTAGACGTCATAACATTCTGTTCTTTACTTTCATTCGGTGCAGATTGTGTGAATGTTTTAAAATTTTCCATAAGTACTAGATCAATATCTGACAAATTATGGCTTTGATTAGATTTAGAATTAAACTTCAAATAAGGAGATAATTCTATTCCCGACAAACTGATGTTCTCTTCAACGTTAATTATAGGCATATTTGTACTATTCAAAGATGTTTTAATACTATTTTCTGTGCTATAAAGTGTTATTGATTCCATACTCACTAATTTATTTGTTTCAATTGGATCTAGAAAAATAGGATTACATGTATTTTGTATCAATTTGTCAATATTTTGTATAGGCTTTAATTTGCTATGAGCAATGTTTTCTTTTTGAGATGATGATTGTACCTTACTATTTGATAAATTCTTTGCGTCTTCTTGTACATTTGGTACAGTTGTTGGCAATACATATTTTTGTGGTACATTTACTGTTCTAACATACAAAGTTTCCACTGATTCTTTAGTTTTGTTAGGATCTTTAGGCATTATTGGAATAAAATGTGAAGTAGAATTAGAAGTAATAGGATGAATATTTCCAATCGAATAAGATGGATTTAAAGCTCGAATATTAGTTATCTCTTCCTTCGAACATAATACCAATGTTGGCATAGTCATAATATCTTGTTCCGAGATTAAATCATTAGAATTGATTTCAGATTCTCGTTTAATTTTTGTAGGTCGTGGACGTTTAACCATTGATCTCTTTGGTTTAGATTCTGTTTCTTTGTTTACAATAATATTATCAATTTTCTGATTTTCCATTTGCGTAGAATATTTTTCAGATAAATCAGCATTACTGTTACTAGGTACAGAGGTTGGAGATTTTTTATCGTTATTAGTTTCTGCCGTGCACGATTCTTTGTTATCATTACTTTTATCATTTTCCGGTCTAACGTGCGTATTCGTTATGTTAGCATTTATAATACTTAAAATAGCTGCTGCATTCTGATCTTCCAAAGCACTTTGTTCCTTTTGTTTATAAATTTCATCTTCTATTCTAGCAGTTTGTTGTCTAGAAGAACTACGAAGCCTTTGTTTCAATGGCACTTCTGTTGAAGTTATTTCATTAGACGATTTAGCTCCAACAACTGTGTGTTCTGGTAATGCAATGCCAATATTATCAATTTCGATTCGTTTTTCTTCTGATCTGTTTAATTAAAATCCAATTGTCATTGAAAAATAAATATAAATTTATATTATTATATTATTAATCATATTATAGCAAAAATAAAGCAATATTAAAATAATACTTGCCTATCTGTAGGAGTTGATTTAACATCAATATCCTCGTCAGGACTTGTGTCTGTTTCTATGTTTTTTCCAATGATTTCATCCAGAAATTGTTCAAACACTGGATCAGATTCTGTTGCTTCTACTATTGATTTAATAGCATTATTTAACTCAGATACGACCGATGTATTAAGTTCATAACCTGTGGATTCATTTAAAATTTCCTTTTCTTCCCTTAGAAATGTATCAGTCGGAAGAATCGCTTTATTTATATTTTCAGCGATACGTTCTTGTAATTCCGTTCGATTTAACAATTCCTTTGTCAACAACTGGCGAGAGGGGGAGAGGGAAAGAAAGAAAGAAAAAAAAAAAAAGATAATTATATTAAAAAGCTAAAAAAATGTAATATAAGATTTTAAAAAAAATACTTACACTAAGGTTTTGAATAGGCTCGTCGTTAGACTCCGATTCATAATCAAGCAATTCACAAGGAGTAGTTTGAACCTCTGTATTAGAAAAAGATAACAATTCTTCTGTATTTGTCCCTGTAGTACACTTTTCATTCATGGTGGTAACTTTTACAACGTCATCTTTCCTACATTTGTTTTCATTAATGATGTTTACATTAAAATTTCGAGTATCAATATTATCGCCTAAAATATACATATTTAAAGAATATTTGGTTATAAATAAAGAAGTTCTTTTTTTTTTTTTTTTTGATAATATTTACCCGAATCCGATGCTGCAACTTTATCTCTGCTATCCGTGGTATGATTGCTATCTGTCAAACTATTTTTTCTAGAATTGGATTGCATTGATTGTCCCACTGCATTATTAATGTCACTTTGTACATCGTCACATTTTTCTGTATGCTTTATTGCTTCTGTATGTCCAGGTAAACTTTCAAGAGCTGTTGCTTCGCAACCAATTGCTATTGTTATATTGATAAAGATAAATATTTATTATTATATAGACAATTAAAATATCCCTGAAATAATACTAATAGATATATTTAAACTTACCATGATTGGACAGTAAAGCAGATTCTTGACAAACTGGATTAGATGATTTTGCATTAGCTTTGTGCCGTTCCTTCTCGTTATTACTGTGATGCCTCTTTTTTCTACTGCCTGATATTATTGGAGATCCACTTAATGTTTGCTGGTTAGCCTATAATTAACTAAATTTTTTTAACTTTCTGTTTTATACGTTAAATATAATAATATATAGCTTCTTATAAAATTTCTTTTGACAATGAAAATATAATAATTTTATACTAAAATTGTGTACCTGTGAAGGCACATTGATATTTACAACGAACCGTTGCCCACGTGTTTCTTCTACTAAAAATTTTAATTGTTCTAACAGATCTCCACAATGCTTTAAATGTTCACTATCCGTGATTTTGTTTAAACGTTCCTGTACTAATGATATAATCATATAAAATGCCAATAAAAACTATTTATGATTATATTCTTAGGACATTTAGCTTGTATAAAAACAATTATTTTAACTTACTCATAACACTCATTGCCGAATATTTTTCAACAATATCTATTAACGTTAATCCACTGATACGAGTATTAAAACGTCTTCCTTTTGATAATGCATTACGACATTCTTGAAGATGTGGAGATGTTTCTAAGAATACCCTGGCAGCATCATTACAATCATGATCCTCCAGATATCCTAATTTAATGAGAAATGATTAAAAAAATTTAGTTTTAACGTTCCCTATATATTTTTCATATTATACAAGAACAAAAAAAAAATATATATATATACATAATTATTCTCCATACAAAAATTGTAAAAAAAGATTACTTCCCGTTCATATCAATAAACATCTAATTCATTATTATCCTCGTTCAAACAATACATTTCATTTTAACACGAAGATAAAAAAAAAAAAAAAAAAAAGAAAACTAATATTTACAATAATACCATTCATTTAATGTTATTTATATATTTTCTACAGAAAGAGGTTAACAGAGATAATATAAAAATAATGCATAAATATTATTTACCGAACACTAATCGAGCTATTTCCGAAGGTAACAAAGCTTCCATGATAATAACTATACAAATTTATATTAAATAAAACGAACAAAATTAAATAATTAAAACATTGATTATTAACTTCTACAAAAGCTTGCTCACTTAAAATGCATCGCGTCTTTAAGCGTCTTGCATTCTTGTTTTAGAGGAGAGGGGAAAGACGCTTTCTTTCTTTCTTTTTTCTCTCTCTCTTTTTTTTTTTTTTTTTTTTTAACCATAAACTACAAGTTCAGCAAAACAGATTCATAAATTATATAGATTTAAGATTAAAAGAATGTTCTTTAATGAAGTGTTATTCGGATAAATTTAAATCGAAGTACGTAACTTTATATATATATTTTCTTTTTTTTTTTTTTTTTTTTTTTTTTTTTTTTTTTTCAAATAAAAAAATAAAAATAACAATCAATAATCAAAGTATCATTTGAACGACGTACGATTAAATAAAAAAGTTAAGTCAAGTAGTTACGATTATTAATACGTATTATTATTTATTAATTTGTCGATTATTTAAAAGAAACAAAAAACACGAAAAAAGAAAAGAAAGAAAGAAATGAAAAATACGAAATCATGCGAGTTTTCTTTATCGATATTATAACCGATCGATATCGTTAGAAAATCACTATTTAAAATCTTCACATTGAACTGAAGTGAGCAATGAAAGAGATTCTCAGTAAAATTTATAACCTCCTTTCGAACATTTATTTATTATAAGTTTCTGCAAAGTATTAACATTTAAATCGTACGATTTAATATTGTTCAAGAAATTTCTAAACTTATTATTTGTTATTGCAACTGTAGTAGTACGTAATTTGAATAATTTTATACAATGTTATGTTATATTACATATAAACTTTTCTAAGGTTTGATTTTTGAATGACATTATATATTGATTTATTTATTGTCTTTATATATATTTAAATTATATATTTTACAGAATAATAGAATATGGGAAACTGGCAGTTAGAAATTTTTAAAATGTCATTATATATGGCCTTTCCCGTAATAATGTTTCATTATTTTAATCAACCAGAAAATTTCGAACAATGGGTGACAAAAGTAAGAAATGAATATTATCCTAAAGACGATAAGGAGCAACGTAGGATTATAGAAGAATCTATCAGAAATCATAATGAAAAAATAGAACGAAAACAATTGGAACTTATGGAACGTACACTTAACAAGAATATTTAATAAAATAAGAATTATTGTATAATATATGTTTAGTGTCTTAAATATATGTGTGCGTATATGTGTATATATATATATATATCCGTATATATTTTGTTAAATATCAATCAAATATCTTTATTATTATTATTATTATTATTTTTTTTTATCAAACATCTTTATTATGTTAGTGATGTTCTAATGATTAAGTAAACCTAGTCATCTTAGTTGTATGACAAATGTGATATTTCTTTTTTTTTTAAATAAACAAGATTATTATTCATATAAATAAAATATATACAATTTTTAATATTTCAATCAAATATTCAGTCTTTCACATATATTCTGATATTAATACACATGAGAAAATGTATGGACCAATAGCGTGTAGGAATTATCGGTAGATATTTTGTCATTGGTGAAATTTGTTGACAAAAGAAAATCCCTATTATTATTTGTATTCGTGCATTAGAAATGATATTGTTAATTTTAATCGTTATATATTTTCAGATTTATACATCTTTTTTCTTTTTTTCTTTTTTTTTGTATTAACGTACTGAATGCCATTTGGTTTTTGTAAAAAGTAAAATAAAAAAATTGATATAAATCTATGACAGGCAAGTCGTACTAGAGGAGATAGTTTCAGTAGGTTTTGGAACGCAATTGGAAATCGTAATTCATTATTTCTCTGTAGATTACCTTATTAGTGATAGACTTAATTAATCAGAATGTCATATTCAATACAATGGAATAGCAATAACATAAACAAAATGATTTAACGTTAATATAATTATTCCCTTCTTTATTTTAACTATTTAATGATAATTTGCCGTCATGTGGAAGTGCCATAAATGTGGAAAACCTGTTTATTTTGGTAAGATCTTTTATTTTATCATTATAATATAAAGATTTGACTTTGACAATTGCCGCTGTATTTAGATTAAATTTTTTTTTTTTTTTTTTTTTTTTTTTTCACACAAATACACGAAATACGTCATTTGGAAGGAAAAACTATGTGATCTTAATTTATTATATATTGAAAAAAAAAAAAAAAAAAAAAAATAAATAAAAAGAGAAAAAGAAAAGAATTGAGAATCTCATTGAATACTTTTATTTTATCCCATTATATAAATCTTATTGTCATTAATTTTATCATCGTTATGTTATTATCTTAATAGAAAAAATATGTGTGTAGATAAAAAAAATTTTAAAGAAAATTCTTTCACCTCAAGTTTTATTCATTATACTTTGTTATTCATAGCGGAACGTAAGCAATCTTTAGGATATGATTGGCATCCAGAATGTTTACGCTGTGAGGAATGTGGAAAGCGTTTGAATCCTGGGCAACATGCAGAGGTAAAAGATTTTTCTTTTCTTATTTTTTTTTTTGTTTTGTTTGTTTAGGATTAATATCAGTCATATTAACAATCTAATTTAATATCTGTCTATCTTAGCACAAAGGAGTACCATACTGCCATGTCCCATGTTATGGTGCTCTTTTTGGACCTCAATTATTTGGTCATGGTACAAGAGTAGAATCACATACAAGTTTTGGAAAAAAAGAAGTTCGTCCATCGTTACCGAGGTAATGCATTTATTTATAATCATGTTATTGTTTTATTTCTTTTTTTATAATTATTTTAAAAGTATAAAATTTTAATGAAATCTTATATATATATATATATATATATATATATATATATATATATATGTATATATATATATGTTTATGAATAGGTCACATTTAGAATCAAAATTGAAAGTTTTTAATCAGTATTACGAAGGTAAAAGTGGTGGAATCCGAAGTCGCGAGGTAAGGTTTTTTCTTTATTCAATTTATTAAAATTATTCATAACTAACAGATATTTTTTATGCATCGCCTATATTCGAAATAAATTTTGAAAATAGGTCAATGGAAGATTAATATTGGAAGGTGCCTTGAGAATATATTGGGGTGTTCGAGGTGTTATTCATTTGAAAGAAGACGATGATCAACGTACTGTTGTTACTGCACGTAATAGAAATTCTTGTAGACGTAGTGTCTCCGAGGTTTGTTAATATTAATTTTATATGATATATAAATTTTTTTTTTTATTTGAAATCATTTTCTATAATTATTCAATATAAAAAATAGGATTTGGAGGACGAAGATAAAACTGATATCACGTTGAAGAGTACATCGGAATGTGACACGGAAGGGAATGCAAAGTCAATTCCGCAATCTCCTGATCATTTAAAAAGTTTGACATTGCCTATGAAATTAGATGTTAAAACCATGGAATGGGATGAATTAGATGAATTACTTCAGGTTTGATATAAAAAAATTTAATAATTTTTATATATTATACGGATTAATATTGTTTTAATGTATTAATTATTTTAGGTTGAACGAAAGGTAGACGAGGGTAATAAATTGTATTCGACGATGCCTGAAAATCTTCCATCAATAAGTTCTAATAACGAAACACCAGTTCATTCTTCTGAATCAAGTTTCGATAAAACAGATTCTCGTGATAATTCCGAAACAAATAGTCCTAATCATCATGTTAATAGGGGTAATGATAGTAGTATAAATAGTACACCGACACATAGCATTGGTAGTTCTTCCAGCACTGATACTCCTATTTATCATGGGACACCAAATCGGAACGGTACTCTTCGTAGGGTAGAATATTTTGATAATTTGGAAAAGAATGTTATTGGTAATAGATCTATTAGTACTGACGATAGTTGGATAGAAAAGGGCTTAAATCGTTCAATGTCCGGTCCAGATTGTCTTCAACGGCATCGTACAGACAGTGATACGGATTCTGTAAATTCTCTGCAATTTAGAGAAGATGATAACATGACAATGTCAACTGATAGTGGTTTGGAGGTAATGATTGTTTCCTTTTTTGTTGGGGGGGTTTTTTTTTCTTTTTTTCTTTTCTCCGTTTTATTCATCCTCTCGTTATTATTCTATAATTGATTTATTTCAGTTGGATGGCGTTGTTCTAAGACGTAAACAAGGATCCACCGCAATTCGACGTAGACCAGGTGGTCGACGTCAATCACGTAGCCGATTAAGACGTCGTTGTTCAATAAATGGTCATTTCTATAATCGAGAAACTAGTTTCTTTACACCACCACATGGTTCTCAAATGTCTGTTTGGGTTACGAGTTTAGTAAACACGCAAGAGGTTATTAATCTTATGCTCGACAAATATAAAGTGGATGCTAAATCGGATAACTTTGCATTGTTCGTAGTCCGCGATAATGGTGGTAAGTTTGTATACATGTTTTCTTTTTTTTCTTTTTTTTTTTTTTTGTATATATATTTTTACTTTCTTTTATTATTTTTTATGTATATATTTTATAACACTTCAATTATTTTAATGTACAGAGCAAAGAAGATTGAGAGACGACGAGTATCCATTGGAAGTGAGAGTAGTATTGGGTCCACATGAAAATGTAGCAAGATTATTTTTGGTCGATAAACTTTCTACACCTGAAATCAGTTCAGATGTTGCACAGTTCCTTAATCTATCATTAGCAGAATGCCATGGTATATTGCAACGTTATCATTATGAGGAAGAACGACAAATTGTACTTTTAAAAGAAAAGTTAGTAATTTTTTATGAATTATTATATTAATTAATTATAATTGACTGACATATTTTTCTTTTCTGTTCTTTTTTCTTTCTTTTTTTTCTTTTCTTTCTTTTTTTTTTTTTCTTTTTTTTCTTGATTTTAGATACAAGGAGATGCGAAAAAGAATAAAACAAAGAATGGAGGAATTGAAGGTCCGATTGTAATTAAGTGATTAAAAACAACGGACTCAAACGGTAAACAGATCATTATTTTTCTATGAATCTTCATTGATAACATACATTTTCTTTTTTCTTATATTGTTGAATGATTAACAGAGAAAGAAAGATATTTAGGATTATAAATAATAATTATAATAATCGATCGATTCCTTCTTGACGGCCTTGCAAATTGAATTTTTAGATTAAATTATGTTTTTGCAATGTCATATTAAACGTAGTCAATATCATATTTTCAATTTAGCACTTATATCTCATTTTTAAATCATTGTTTTTTTTTTATCGTATATATTCGTTGCATTTATCTACAGTTGGCATATATACGTATATATATGTGTGTGTGTGTATATTTATATATATATATATGCATATACACATACATATATATATATATATATACACACTGGCAAGTTAGTTAATCTGGTGCAATTCAACGACAGAACCAAATCTCAATTAAAGAATCAGTAATATGTATTGCATATGCTATTTGATATCAAATAAGCATTACTCTAGTATGTCCATGCGTGTATACGTGTGTGCGTGCACGTGTACATGCACATTGTTATTATATAAGGCAACTTTTTAATAATTAGTATTTGTCTTTCTTATAACCATTTATTAACGTTATTTACTATAGGAATAGAAATGCATTACATTATTATTGTAATCTGTGGTCTCGTGATCTATCTGAAAAATAAACAGATAGTTAGATTTTATATATATATATATATATATATATATATATATATATGTAATTAATATGGTATGCAAATATCGATCAATTAATGACCATGCTATGAATCTCAAAGATTTAAAGTTTCTTGAAGTAAGGATTATGCGTGAAGAAAATAATGAGGATTGCTAATATATAAGAACATTCGATGGCTTTTAAAAAAAACATGTTTCCATATGTATGTAGACATGTATCATATCTATCTCATGCAGTAATATACTTGTGTTCATGCTCCTTTCATTCAGACTTTATATCGAACAAACAATTCTATTATAGTGATTTAGAAACGGACAAGTAAATAAATAAATAAATAAATAAATAAATAAGTAAATAAGTAAAGCTTTACTTTTCTGAAAGTAAAAAGAAAAAAGAAAAAGAAAAACAGAAAGAGTTAGTTTAGCGTTGATAAATGTAAAGAATTTTTGCACAAATTTATCAATGAGCAAGAGAATTAGTTGGTGCTTCGATAATACAAAAATTTTTATATTTGATAAAGCTCTTAATGCTTATTATTGTAAATCATTCTTTTGTTTGATTTGATAGTATTTT